CCGTGGTTACCATAGGCCAAAGCCGCTAATCCAAGAGCAAGCAGCATATCACCTCGGCCGACTACCAGACCCCCTAACGCTGATCAGATTTTGACCCAGATTCCCCCCCTTCCCCCTCCCCTGACAACCGTACTATTTTTCTACCAACCCGTACTATTATCATATGAATGTAAAGGCCTGACGAGAATTTATCGAAAACAAACGTATGTTCGCCGTTTCATCTTCTGAGATAGAAACATATCAATTATATCAAAATTTTAGTATATACTCGGTCACTCTTTCTTGCATTCGCAAGCTTAGAACGACAGGTAATCAACTATTGTGAGAATTACTTCTATATAAATAGAAAAGCGACCTCTTTCATTTCCAGCCAAAATTGCGTCATTCTCACGTAAATAAGAAAACTTGTCAAAATTCTCCATTTTCACTGTGACATCACCTTGAAAAAACGTAATATATAGAGATATTCGTCAGCTGAATGTCTACCTAAAGTGCTTCTAAAAGAGGTAACCTATTGCAGAAATTATTTTAAATTAATCTCAGTAATAATAACATAAGGCTTCTGTTGCGGACGTTCTTATTGCTCGAAAATGTGTGTTGGTGACTCGAGGAATTTTTAAATAAGGTCCATATGGCCATCTTTATAACAACTAATATCTAAAAATGAATCTTTTTAAGGTAAATCTTTTTTAATATATATCTTATTTCAAATGTTTTGATAGAACCTCAAACAGAATCTACGTTTATAGAATAAAGCTTAAAAACACAGAAAATCGTCAAAGGACGATCTGAAGGCAATCGCAATCCAGTAACGGAAATATGGATAAAAAGTCTTGAATAAAGAACAGTTCTTTTGATATCAAGAAAATGTTATGATTATTCATTAAAAATACCATAACACTTGAGTTTATTGTTCTAATTTATGGCTACTTTTAAGTCTGCGCAACGTGAGGATGTTTAAGAAGATTTTATTTGGTAACAAACAATTGGTACTTTTGAACTATTTTTTAAGTAACAAATCTGCCTAAGGTTATTCATCATTATTTCCTGCATA